TTTTTTTTTTTTTTTGTGCAATTGTTTTATAGGAACTAGGGACAATCATAAATGAAGTAGGCATTATGCATTATATGTATAATTTTTTATTTTATTTTATTTATTTTTTTTTTTGGGGGGGGGGGTTGGGTGTTAGGTTTTGGACATGTACTGGAGCAATCGGTACGGATCTTAGCAGAATGTTTGCTGGATTTGGTGAGCGAGTTCCTCCGCACTAAGTTGGCATTCAATTCCTATCTGTCATGAAAGACACATAATTGTAAAAATCAATAGCTTCAATCTAAATTAATCAACACAATTAACCAAATTTAAACTAATGCTATATAAAACAATTTCTTGGTAAAATTAGGCGAAATTTTGAAGAAAATAAAATATATCCAACATTTTCAAAGAAACAATGTGATTTTTTTTTTGGGGGGGGGATTATGCGATAAACTTACCCGTCATTAATAGCGAAGTACCACGGTGTTTTTTTTGAAAATGGAGGCAAAATGATTAACAGTGAGTCGTCTATATGTTACTCTCACTTCAAATATTTCTTTACTAGTTGTAAGTTATAACTTAGTGTTTGAAGGCACCATAATTTGATCGTTTAAAAAATTAATCCTATTATGTTAAATAATATTTTTTTATTTTTTTCATTTTTTTGATTACATTATTTAAAATTAATTTCTATCTATTTTTTTGTTAAAATAACATCAAAATTTTCTCAAAATTTATAATTCGATAATTTTTTTTCAACATGTGTAAATTATCGTGTATGAATAATGTATGAAACAATAATTATGTTAAACTACAAATTAATTAAATATTAAATAATTAAACATGTAATAGAATTGGACGATGAGATGAATTTGGGGGAGAAAATATGTGTGAGATAAAAATTCAAACTCCTAAATGTTTTATTATATTGATGATAAATAAAAAATCTACCTAACTGATCCACCTCTATTCCACAGTAGTTTTTTGGTGAAGTGAATGCATGAGAGTGTGTGAGTGTGTGTTTTTTTTTTTTTGTGGGGGGTGGGGGGAGAGAGAGAGAGGGAACATACAACACCCCGAAACAATATTCAAAGCAAGAGTTTTTAACGCACAAGCTAATTCTTTACCGAAATGAAAAATGAACAAAAGAGGTGAACCAACCAAGACCACAAGGGAAGAGCTACGGAAAAAAGATATCTTGTTACTCCTAATAATGGGTTATCGGAGGGGTAGACCGGATACAAACTAACCTTAGACATCCTTTGTATAGAATGACTATTCTTAGGTTTGAACCTACAACTTAAGGGCTGTTGGGTCAGGTTTGAACCATTTAGCCGATTCATTGGTCCCATGGAAAAAAAAGACGAAACTTTAGGAGCATCACTTAGAACTTAAAACTGTACGAAAATATATATCATCAGAAATGTTTTACAAATACTTTTTTATTATATTATTACTTGAAAGGGTTGGGAACATGCCTGAAAGCTGCATATAAGCTAATGTCTTACCTTGATGGTGAAAGATAGAACCATGGTCTCGTTCATGGTGGTGATGTTCACTTGGAGAATTTCGAGTGAGAGGTCGTCAAGAGCAGATATTATCTTCGCAGCCTGGCCAGGTATGCGCGGAGAAGTTGTCTTCAAAAGGACATTTGGGCCTGAAAATCTCACCTCCACATCAGCGATAGCAGATTTTGAGTTTGTCACGAGGTCGTTTACAATGTCAATAGAGGGAGTGGAAGAAGGAGGCGATGATTCATGTGAAGCATTCATGGTTGGAGAGACATAAACTTGCTGAAACCTAGGCTTGTAAGGGCTACTTGGTTGTGGGGTTCTTGGACTTATGGGTAAGCTCAGTCTGGGGCTTAGTGGTGGCTTTCTTGGGCTAAGTGGTGGAGGTCTTGGACTTGAAACAAACCTTGGACTAAGAACTTCACTGTAAAGTTTTCTTTGCTTCTTGGTCTCAAGCGATTGCAACACCTGCTGCAACTCGTTGATGTAATCAACAACTCCTCCGATAATAGATGCTTGATCGCCCTATAAGTATAAATAACAACCGGAAATATATAAGTGAGAGTAATTCTACCAAATAACAAACACCAAACTTATACCAAATTTGCACACAAAATCATTGTGGACTGGTAGATTTATAGGATTGGAGTGTGTGTCTTAAAGCATAGTCATGAGGATTCCTAATGGTCTAGTGCATATACGCAACTTTCTTTACCAGATTTCTTAATGTCATGTACATGTCTTATCTTTATCTTAAGATTGTTATGATCAATTCAATTTTTTTAAGTCAAAACTTGGATTCATTGAGTTGTAATTCACTGATTTGATCTCTCCTATTTGATTATAAATTATGATACGATACCAAACTTGATATGACAGTGGTTCCTACCTACAACTCGGATTCATTTTTCCTAGACGTTGTATTCCTAACAACTATAGAGAGATAGTGTTAATTCAAGCTACTTGATAACTTCAACCCCGCTGAATTTGAAAACAAAGTTTAAAGAAACTATCATGCATGTAAAGCTACAAGCAAAACCACTCACTCGTTTGACATAAAAAGAAGGCATTAGCGAGCGGAGGGCCAATAAATTCTCGCTCATCTGCTTCCTCCGGTTCCGTTCCACGGTTATGTGAGAAGTCCTCTGCTGACCATCTTGATTTGCTTCCTCCAAAGCTGCACTTGCAGTGTGCTGCTGTCTCTTGCACTTTGGAGAAGCTTCAAGCTCAGCCTTGGAATCTTGTGGCGCACTTGAAGACGTGGACTGTTGAGAAACTAGTCTTCTTTCCACCGTCGTCGGCGCCACCACTACACCTTTTGAACACAAATTAGGTTCCTCTAATGGTGTCAATGGGAAAGACTCCGACACACCCTCCAAAGCCTCGAGGATACTGAAGATATTTTCCGGTGAAGCCACACTGACCAAGTTTGTTTCAGTACCAAAGTCGGATTCTTCAAAAAATGTAGACAAGCTATCACATTCACTATCCATTATGGAACACTGCCGGAAAACCGCCTTCACCCAAAAAAACTGCTTTTTAGAATGAGGAATACAACTTAGAGGAAAGTGAGGTCTGTGGACTGAAAGTGGTAAGAGCCCCAGACACCCATGAAGATGTTTTGATTGGGAAGATAAAAAAATAGATTAATTGCTAAAAGCAGTAAATATAAGGGCTGAACTGAAAGTGACTAAACTATCGCCATCATCTCTCTCTTTCGGTGTATTTACCGTTTTCAGGGCTGCACTGTTAGCTGGGCGTATCACATGGAAATCAGGTGACATCAAGCTGGCACGGAATCCCAAGGAGAATGGCAACAGACTAACCAAGGACAAAAACAGAGAACCTTTAGAATTTGAGAGAGGGAGAGAGAGAGAGAGAGGTGTATACTATGGGCATGTCCATAAGAACAGGGAAACTATTAACAGAGTAATCTCAAAGGTAGCTTTCATAATAATTCTTTAGAGTTAGGTTCTGATTAATAAATCGATCTCTCATTAATTTTTTAATTTTGACGTGAATATTTTGTTTTTGATTAAATTGGATAAGAGNTCTCAAAGGTAGCTTTCATAATAATTCTTTAGAGTTAGGTTCTGATTAATAAATCGACCTCTCATTAATTTTTTAATTTTGACGTGAATATTCTGTTTTTGATTAAATTGGATAAGAAATTAGTTGAAATGTATACATAAGTTAGTATGAATATTCTTAACTGTAGAACTAAAAAAAAAGAAGAAATTATTGAGTGAGTTAAGAATTATTAGATTTAATCCAGGACTTGATACGTAATACCTGAAAAATAGAAAAAAAAAGGTATAAAATAATCATTCATAACAACACAAATTTATGTAGAAAATTTCTTTTTCCGGTTAACCTTGTACGTGGGCAACATATGAGGAGAGTAGAAAATGTTTTTTTCACTAAAACATGATAAGGATCTTTACATTGGCCATGCACCACATCAAACAAGCTATGCTTAGCAATGTCCGACTTAAAATAGCATTCGCGAGCTTGAGGGTTTGATTTAGCTAGAGGAACATGCAGCTGGATTTCAGGCAAAAGATGAAGATGCCGTTAATTGGGAACTGTCAAACTCAAATAAAAAGAAGAAAGCAAGACCGAGTGGAAGAGATGATTAGTCAAAATACATATAAATTAGTTCAAATATCTTAACCATTGAACATTATCAAATCCATTGGACCCACACCTACATCATGAGTGAGACTGACAACAACTGTTCGATGGGTATAATTTTTTTGATGGATAAGCCCTTTTTTAACTAATCCAGAAATCAATAAGAAAACAAGAACCTCTATTATAATAGTGATCTGTTGTTTCAAGATTGATAGTTCAGTTTTTCACAATTCTATTCTATTTTTTGTGCGAAAGTCTTCATTTTATTTATTAAAAGGAAATGGTGGAAATTCAAGAATCTTTTTCTAATAATATGGACTGAATGGAGCAAGAGGAAAAGATGAAAGAGTACACTGATAAGGCTTTTGTCATTCTTAATCGACGTGCCAACTGATATAAAATTATCGGATAAGAATATCACAGTTAATAGGGTTTCAGTTGATTGCAAATGAAAGCCCTAAGACTAGGTTTATGAGGTTATCTAAAATCTACAAGCTATCCTCTCTCAGTCACACTCTGATAAGGGGAATTTCTTTATTAGTTTTCTGGCAGTTATGGAAGGAACGTTGTAGAAGACTATTTGAAGACCGGAAACTCTACCCTTCAACAATTTTCAAACAGATAATAAATTACAGCAAGCTGCAAGCTTATAACATCAGACCTAAAGCCATAGAATCTCCAGAAGGTTTGAGTCTCCTACAGTTTCTTGAAATGGATCAACTGGAAAGTCCCTCCACATGGTATGCTGAAATTAAATATCGATGGTGCATCTAAAGGGAATCCTGGTCCCTTTGGTGGGGGTGCTGTTTTAAGGAATCAACGGGGGCAGTTTCTTTTAGGGGGCTCCTATTACTAGGGAATCTGTACCAATATGGAAGCTGAGCTACGAGCACTCATGGATGGTCTTACGTTGTTAAAGCAACATGGTCTTCAAGTCTACCCCCTGATAACAGAAACAGACTCTTAGGTCTTGGTGGAGATGGTCAATCAGGCTAGCAAGGTCTCTTGGAAATTCTGGACTCTTATGCCTTATCTCTTTTCACTTATTTCCAATTTTGAGTTTCAATTGCAGCACACTTATAGTGAAGGCAACTCAGTGGCGGACTCTTTGGCAAACAAAGGGGTGTCTGATATGCATACTTCATTCTACTCTCCTACACTTCATTCTACTCTCCTACAGATCTCCTCCCAATTTCTACAAAGCTACTCATGCTTCAGGATTCTATGCAAGAGTCCTCAGAAAGAAAGATACTTCTTCTTCTGGGATTTTCTAAAAAAAACAGTCAAATTTCTAGCGAAAAAAAAAAACAAAATCTTATGTTTGGATCTTAATTGGATCGAGTGGCCAAACTGCCTTAATGAATAAATACAACACAAATCTAACTATATACAATTATAAATAAGTTTAACGTGAATGATTAAAATTTGACATATTAGGATTTTGACCCGACACGACGTGCCTTAACATGAAACAATATGAATCGTATCAAAAAAAAAAAAATGTATTGATTGAATGGTCTTCCAGAAGCAAAGAAGAATGAATCAGTACAACTATAAACATTATTTATAAACAATGAATATGCATATGTTTTTCCAAATATCTATGAGTTAGAGAAAATAAATTGAAGCCAGATGAAAACATACCTCTTGAGTGTTGGAGAAACTCTTTCAAAGAGAAACTTGTACGGTAATAAAGATGAACTGTAAATTTAGACGTCTTGAATTTAAATCTTAACAATCCTTTAAGGCCAAGTCATNGACTAGGTTTATGAGGTTATCTAAAATCTACAAGCTATCCTCTCTCAGTCACACTCTGATAAGGGGAATTTCTTTATTAGTTTTCTGGCAGTTATGGAAGGAACGTTGTAGAAGACTATTTGAAGACCGGAAACTCTACCCTTCAACAATTTTCAAACAGATAATAAATTACAGCAAGCTGCAAGCTTATAACATCAGACCTAAAGCCATAGAATCTCCAGAAGGTTTGAGTCTCCTACAGTTTCTTGAAATGGATCAACTGGAAAGTCCCTCCACATGGTATGCTGAAATTAAATATCGATGGTGCATCTAAAGGGAATCCTGGTCCCTTTGGTGGGGGTGCTGTTTTAAGGAATCAACGGGGGCAGTTTCTTTTAGGGGGCTCCTATTACTAGGGAATCTGTACCAATATGGAAGCTGAGCTACGAGCACTCATGGATGGTCTTACGTTGTTAAAGCAACATGGTCTTCAAGTCTACCCCCTGATAATAGAAACTGATGGGACTCTTCTGAAAAGCCCTAAGATGAAGACACGTGTCCTCGGGGTTTTGGGAACAGTATTGCCCGGATGTAAACACCATCGGCAAGAGCGTCCTTTACCCCGAGGTACCTCTCATAGGATCACACATTCGGTGTATTATACAACAACACGTGTCCTCGGTCACACGTGTACCTCGGAAACATACCACCCTCGGTCCCCGAGGTAAGCCTTTCCTCGGTGCCGAGGGTCACTCCATCCTGGACGCTTCCTCTATTTTNGGTATCATATGACTCGCTCCATGTAAGTACTCTTAAGTCTCTCACCTTAAGTACAAAAAATAATGAGCTACCAAAGTGTTAAAAGAGAAATTTTCTTAACTCAGTGTTGATCTAATAATTTATATCAAGAGATTGTTTGTATCATGGTAACATGTTTCAGTCCCCTTATGAAACTTTCATTACTGTTAGATTTTTAGATCTAAATAACATTACACTTGTAATTAAACCATTAAGATGTGAGTAAAATCTAGTTGTCTTAGTTGATGTAAATCCAAAGTACGTTTATCCTAGCTAGGTTGTGTATATCATGGCTATCTATCTTGATATTTTAACTTGGAAAGCCTTTGAGCATATCATGAACTATGTTTGACGTCCAATTTATTTTTCCAATTCAAATCCGGTAGGAAAAATGGAATCTAAAAAATAAAATGAATAGTAAGGTGAGGCACTGATTAAGTCACTCTCTTAAGACGATTCGTACTTATTTATGAAAGAAATACAACGCAGAAGGTAACAATATGTCATTCTCAAGATACAACAGCTCAACTTATTGACTGTTGCTTAATTCAGATATGCACAATCGAATGAAATAAAAGTTTCACACGACACTTTTCATTATTGTCCAGAAACTTATATAATAGAGAAGAATATATATATGATATCCAAATAGTATATCACTATACTAAAATATATAAATCTATATAATAAAACACATAGTAACTTAAATTTTTATCCACTACATATTTTTTCTCTTAAAAACGTCACATCACTCATTTCTATCACATATTTAATCAATTTTATATTTTCTCCCTAAACACATCACATCACTCATTTCTATCTCATGTTTAATCATTTAATATTTGATTAATTTGTAATTAATATAATTTTTATTTCAAACATATATGATAGTATGCACGTGTTAAAAAAATTTAATACAGTGAGATCGATTTTTTGGGTGTTTGAATTTTATATTTTATTATACCTTCAAACACTAGTTATAACTAATATATATACATAAAATATAGATGTTTAATATTCGATAATTACTCCTATAAAAAATAGTTGTTGAAAACTTAGCTGTTAGAACTTTTGGCATTCAATATAGGAGTTATTACAAAAAATAATTAAATAAAATATTAAAAAATGGATAGTTAATATTTTTTTCTAATTAGGCGAGCTAGAGTGATCCACAGCCCGAGTGTAGATTAGGCTAATCTACACATGTACGAGTCCTAAAATCTCACCTTAACTCAAAGGTTAGATAATCTAACCTTTGAGTTAGTCGATGTATAATTGAATTTTCACATAAAAAATATTTTTTTTTTTTTAAATATTCTAACAA